ACCCACTCTCCTCCCCCCGCTCCCTCCCTTAAAACCAGGAGAAGGGGGATTGGCGCGATTGGATTCTGGAGAGACTGTGCAAAGGGGCCCCATCTGTGCGACGCCAGCTGGGAGCGTCGCGCGGGGTCGGGGAGTGGGTGGCGGGGGCTGGGGATTGACGCCACGCTTGGCCTTCTCAGGCTCCCTCCCACGCTGTGAAGGAAACGTCGACCTTGCTCGGACCCCAGGTGCATAGGGGTTCGGGCCAAGGAGGCACCTTTTCGATCCCAACCCTGACTCTTTGGCCCCTAGCTCGGAGGACGGGCAGGAGCCCCCGGAGGGCGTGCTTTGAACATCTAGAGTGGGGCAGGAGGGGTCTGGGGCACGCCGGGGGTCCTGAGACCCTCGGCTGACTTGTCCTCTGCAAAGGCCTCAGCCCCTTCTCTGAGTCGGCCGGGATCCCGCGCTGCTGGAGCCTCGCCTTCGCGCAGGTCAGTCTCCTGGGGTCCACCTTCCCTGGCCCGCTTCTGATGGGGCCTCGCCTGGAGGGTGTTAGTGGGGCTCGGGGACCCAGAGAGTAGGCACCGCCTCCCAGCCCGACTGTGCAGGAACCGTTATGCGGCTACAGGCGGGGGAACTGAGTCACCAAGAAGAACACGCCCCTTCCCTGCTGGGCTGGGGACTGGGTTGGGGGAAGCTAAGGGACAGCTTCAGGCACTTCCCCCGAGTTGCAATCTTGCCCTGTCCCTCGCAGGACTTCGCTCCACTGAGTGACCCCGCGGTCACGGCCTTCGGACGTCCGTGCTGCTTCTCTTGCATCCCTGAGACTAACGCCCTCGCCCGCCCTTCTGTCCCCAGCATGGCCACCAGCCTCAGCGCAGAAGATCCGCCGTCGCCGACCCCGCTGTCCACGCAGCAGACCACGCTGCTTCTCTTCGTGGCTGTGCTGGGCGCTGTGCACGCGGGCCTGTGGCTGCTGAGGCAGCGGCGGCGGCAGCCCTTGTCCGCACCCCCGGGACCGTTCCCGTGGCCGCTGATTGGCAACGTGGCCGCGGTGGGCCAGGCGCCGCACCTCTCCTTCTCGCGCCTGGCGCGGCGCTACGGCGACGTCTTCAAGATCCACCTGGGCAGCTGCCCCATCGTGGTGCTGAACGGCGAGCGCGCCATCCACCAGGCCCTGGTGCAGCAGGGCGCCGCCTTCGCCGACCGGCCGTCCTTCCCCTCTTTCCGCGTGGTGTCGGGGGGCCGGAGCACGGCCTTCGGCAAGTACTCGGCGAGCTTGGTTTCAACTCCCAGGTCACCTCTCCAGAGCTGTGTGATCTTAAGTTAATCACATAACCTCTCCCACCAGTGAGATCTGCAGCGCACACAATGTACAAAGCACACGGTCGGCCAGCGGTCAACGAGGCGCAGCTTTGATGTTCACTCTTGAGGACCCCGGAAACCCGGGGGGCGTCATTCCTGCCTGGTTACCATACATCCCACCGACTCCCATCTCCTGGGTTCACCCCCTTCCCCCCCAACCTGGCAGGGAAATCCTAGCTCTCCCCGTGCCTTGTGCGCCTCTCCCGGGAAGGAACCCGGCCGGCCGAGCGCCTCCAGCAGCGCGTTTGCACTGGGTCGGAGCGGCGGACGCGCAGCGGGGCGGG